TGAACCATATATGTAAAAATAATGTTCATATTTAGCATATAGCAGTACCTTCAATGCATTAGTCTTGTTCAGTAAAACACAATTAGAAGGCCACTTAAGTTTTGTTCGTCTTTATTCAAAACATAATCACCTCACTCTTAAAGAACATATGAAATTTACAGGGGGAAAAGACCAACATAAGAAACTCATGTGCTAACCAAGAGGAATTTTACTGCAGTGAAGGTGTATTTTGAAATGACACCTCACCCAATGTTTAGGACTGAATCTTGTCATTAACAGAGGAAAGCTAAAAGTCGGGTTTGTTTTTTTTTTTCACATGGCACTTGTGTCATTAAATATGGGGATGACTGAATACACAGGGCTGATAAGACAGCTCTTTATCAAAGGACAGGTTCAAGCATGCATCATGTTAGTTCCAGCTTCTCCAACATGGCCCTGTCCATCTACTCCTATCCTGACATCCAAAAATATGTTTTATCTCTACTTTTATTGAGTCACTAGTTTCTCTGTGGATATTGGAAATAAAGACAATCACATACCGCTAATTGTGGTGGATATCAAATGACAGAATCTGTATACTCTGGTAGGGACCCAAAGGCAGGGAGAGAAATGCAGGGCTTCAGATTACAAACCCATCGCTAGGAACCAACAGGGCATTTCAAAATGAGAGATTACATTTTCACTGACAAAGGGTAACTTTGCCACAGGAGAACAACTGGGTGTTAGCTGTTCTTCTGTAAATTCTGTCTGCATTTCATTTACAACAAAAAAAATTAATGTTGACAACCAGGAATATAAAAAAAGTACTTCCTGTTGATCCCATAGTACACTACTGAAGCCATGCTCAGACTTAAAATCCTCTAATAAAATAACAAAGACATGTTTATCGCTATACAAACAAACAAGAAAAATTCCTTGGCTTTGTCTTCACAAAGATAATGTTGTGTACCAAATTCTGCTGGGAGCAACAAACTGAGTATTGTGTCAGGCTCTTTGATCTGCCTTGAGAACTACTGCTTTTAGTATACAAAGCCTGAAAGATGAGTGATAGGGAGAATAGAAAAGAAGAAGGAATATTGTACTTTTTTACTTTCAACTGCCTGATGACTGGAGGACAGAGGGTTTGAAAGGAACACTGTGGTTATCTGTAATGTAACGGAATGTCTGAAAAAAGAAGAGTTCCTCCTTGAAAGAGACTGTAATGGCTGCACATTCAATCATGCCATTTTAAGGTGGTTTTGGACCAGTTATTCGTTACAAACATCATGAACATTTCTTCATGGCTGAAGAAACAGTCATCACTGAGCTAAACTGGATTTGAGGAGAGTTTGGAAGGGACAAGGCTTCTAGGCTAGCAGCTGTGCCAGATTCAGCTCCACTGCATCATAAAAGCTTTCTCAGAGCACATCTAGCTTATCTGACCCTTTCAAATGGCACCAGAAACTAGAGGCATGTCCAATTTCTATTAGACAAGTTGTGCTAATAGCTGAAAAACACTCTTAAGATGTGAAGAAAGACAATTGTAATTTTTTTCCTGAATATGCATAACCCTAGAGATGAAGTCTGAAAGGTCTGAAGGAGTCTATAGAGCTAGTAATTTGAATCTTTTCCACTGACTGGCTGCCAAACTCTTCCTCTAACTCCAGACTAAGTATCACATAGCAAAACAACACAGGTGAATTTGGTCACTACTTTCTTTATAATGTGCTCCTTTGCACAGAAATAAGAGGCCTTTGAGGTTTTCAAATTTTCTACAACCCAAACTATATGGATAGATACTTATGAACTCAGTCACATTTGCACAAAGCCCACCTTTTTATAAAACTGTCATTGTGATAAAGCCTATTTTAATCAGAATACTTCAGCCCACCACATGCAGAGATACAGCCCAAAGCTTGTCCTGAAATGAAAATAAACCATCCTTCCATGTTACTGGAGCGCTGAGGCATTATTTAAGGAATAGCTTGAATGACCATAAAAATAAAGAGAATTAGATTCAGACCTCTATTTCATCATTGTTAGCTACTCCGTTTTTTGTTTGTGGCTTTTTTGTTTTGTCTTTTTGTTATTTTCTTTTTTTCCTCCTCTTTCTTCCGTATGTGTTTTTGGCTATTATAAGCACTTTATCCATACTGATGTTACTCCTCAAAATTCATTTCAGAGGGATGACTTTTATGGCTCCCATGATTCTTAAGCCGCCTACGGTATTTGTAACTCACAGAATCAGACACTAACACAGACAGTGTAGCTTTTCATACAAAGGCACAATAGGAACGAATGTATTAACCTCTGTGGTGCATGGAATGTGTCAGCTTACACACTGGCAGCTATTTCTGTGAAACTCAGCTAACTTCCGCTGGCTGTGTTAAAATTTAAAAAAAAAAATCTTCCCTAGAACTATGTCCCACGCTCTCATATGCTGGCCAAACAACTGAAATATCTGATCTTGCAGAGAGTCTACTTCATGCTAAATCTGGCCAAACTGAGTTTGAAAATGCGTTTTACATGTACTGTTTATTAATGCTGAGCTTTTCCAAGCAGGTATAAAGCTCTGCTGTTCCATATGACTTGGCAAATAATAATGAGCAGGGAGACGAACTAGCAATGGAGAGCATGGGATCTCTTTCTTGTTTCTACAAAAGAGTGTCAATCTGGATTTTGCAGAGCTAGAGATGATTCGGAGCTTTACTTCATTTTAGTCCCAATTTTTACCTAGCTTCATCCTACCAGGAAAGCATATATGGCATGTAACAAAAAGCAAACTGTGGAGATGGACATGACATCTTCTTAATTCCTGTGACTTGTGGGGGGTTGTGGAGCTGATCAGGAATACCTGAGGGACATCTGCACTGCTATCATTAGGACCAATGGACACCTCCTCCAAAATTTAGAATTATATTGGGCATTTAGAATCAGATACAGCTGGCTAACTCTTTAATGTAGCTCAAAAAAAAATTCTTTCCTATCTTTCCACCTGTTTTCTAATTGCCTGTGTTAAATTAGTATAATCACTAAATACGTGCACTACAGCAGGGCCTAAAATGTGCTGGGTACCATAAAACACTGTAGGAGGGGCCAGTCATTGCTCTGAAGAGCTTACAGCCTAAAAGGCCATAATCACGTTAAGTGACTTTTAAGCTGTTTAAAAGTGCTTGTCAGGACAGAGCTTTCCTGCCCGGCAATGCCTTGCCTTTTGCTGCTCTACAGCAGCCGGCCTTTCCAGCCTGCATCAGAACCAGCTCATGGCAAAGAGCAGCAAACCCTGCGGAAATTTCAAGTGCAAACCTAGAAGTCGTTAAATTGACGGTAAAGACCAAAAAAACGCAACAAAAACTTCCCCCAAGGTACAAGCAAAACGTGTTATGATTTGAGGACTCTTTGGCTTCAGATGCAAATCTGATGTGAGGAGAAGAGCCCCCCCCCCAAACCCCTCTTAATTGCTTTGTGTTCACATGGAAGAGAAAACTGTTTTTCATATTTATTTAACCTTTGCCTCTTCCGCATTGTTTTCAGACTTACCTGCAGTTGGAGTGGGCCTAAGCCCGGTGTTGCTGCGGCAGCAGCTGCCCTGGGAGTTGG